AAAGAAGAAGGGGAGATAAGGACGATAGATGTTTGACAGGAAAGAAGAAGCAGACCACACCAGAGCACCTGCCAACCACCCACGAACCTGCTCTAACGGCCACCTGCATAAGACAACCGTCTGTACAAACGATAATGATACTTCCCATTTTCTGGTTGGGGGGGGGTTACATTATGACATTGTGTAAGACGACCATCTGTCTGAGACAGCCACTTTCCTGCTCGACGATGGGTGGTCGTCTTAGACAGTTTCGACTGTATCTTAAACCGTGCACTGTCACGTAATATCGGTTCACTATGGGGCACCCATTAGAGCCAAATGAAAAGCAAGAAGGGAAGAGGCCCCCTGCATTGGACTGTAGCGCGATACTGGTACTATAATGGTGCAGGCCACCTACTGTAAACGATGGATTACTTCCTTCAATAACAAAATACTTTCGCCTTTTCGAAGCGAAGTTTGTACAGAGAGCCAAGAGCGGCGGCCATAAGAGTAAAAGTCTATAAACCAGTCGGACTTTTTCTGAATGTGTGATCGTTTGCTTCACGCCAATATGACGCATCATTGCATACTGCACCTTCGTTGCGGTGCAGCATCACCGAGGTTACATCGTCCTTGCAGAGGCACGGCTATCTTTAAACCCAAGTTGTTGGGGTTTTTTTTAACAGAGAGCAAAGAGCCGCGGCCATAAGAGTGCGCAGTCAATGAGTCTATGTCTACGAACTAACAGAAAATTGTAACAAATTAACAGACTGGAGAAAGAGGCTAAAACAGCACCTAGACATGGATGGAAAGTACCTGTATGAATAAATTATTGATGATCTGTCCTAGTCTGCGAACCAGTCTGACATTTTCTGAATGCGTGATCGTTTGCTTCACGCCAGTCTCACGCAATATTGCACACTGCGCCTCAGTGGTTGTAGTGCAGCATGATCAGCGCCTTGTAGAACTTATATCTCACGAATTCGAAAGTCATACCCGAGCAATAAATCACCCGCATCGGGAAGTGTGTCCAGTGCAGTATACGGTATCTAGCCCGCACTGGGGGTGCCAAATGTCCGATTATCTGATAAGACTTGCAAGTTTTTTTTGTTTGTTTTTTTTTGTTTGTTTGTTTGTTGGGGTTGGGTTGTTGTTGTTTTTTTTACAGAAAGCCAAGAGCGGCTGCCATAACAGTGCGCAGTCTAAGATGAAAAAGTATATGATCCAGTCTGACATTATTTGAAAGCGTGATCGTTTGGAACCGTCCATTATGATTTTGGGGAGAAACCGCTTTCGAATAGGTACTAATCAGGCGTGACACGGGGGAGACGCTATTCTTTTTTCTTTATTAGATCTGATCTTACTTTGCGATAAAACAGACCCCCACTGATCAGACAAACTGTACACACCGCTTTCCATAACTTTTAGATCTACAAAAACGGGTCCATGGTACGAGTCAAAACCATTCCAAGCAAACA